TCCTACCTGACACAAGACACTTATCTGTAATGTCACTATTTAAAACTAAAAGGAATAAAGTGACTACTTCTCAGAGCTTTCAGAAATTTCCTATTTCTTAAAACATCTGCAAATAAAAACCTAGAACCTTTGTAGCAAGGGCAGCAGAAAAAAAAAGAGGGATTTTTTTTTTGGCACTATATATGTATTCTTCAGCTACATACTGTACTTTACCTAAACTGAATACCAGTTCAAACCCCAGCATTAAATTTTATATTGTACACCAATTTTTACCACATCATCATAGAACAGATTTTTGTAACCCATTAACACAAAACATGGGATCTTTAACATGTTTCCTAGAAGTTTCTTTTAACATTTAAGATGTTGTCCAATTATTCTTAACTTCAAGTACTAATTTAGAAAAACACTGTTTCTAAACTCTAGAGAAGTTTCAAGCAATATTGGCAAGTTCTACTTACAAAATAGGATGACAGAATCACAGTTATGATCACAATAAATCCTGCCAACACCACATCTGGAGGAATTTCTGAGCCGCTTCGTCCCATGATAGGTGTAAACATTTCAAATACAGTCCAACTAAGATACATCGTATACAGATAGGGAACAAACATTCCCAGCAGGTACATCATTACAAACTTCATTGTGGCACCTACGGAGGACAGAAAAAAAATATGCAAAAGAAACAACTGTAAAAGCTTAAAAGAACAGGAACACACACCTTTACTAATAATATATCCAGATACTACTGCAAGGCCCAATATATAATACTGGTCCTCATCCCTGACATGGATGTGGAAAGGGTATCACATTTTGCACAGCCAATACCAATGTAACTCTTTCAAAAAACCACAAAAATATTCTTGTTATACAAAAAAAATGAAATAGATGTTCTGTCACAAACAGTGTTTACATATTACAGTATCTTAACAATGTGTATGGCCCATATTTGATTTAATTATCAATACGTCATACTTTTTTTTTTTCCTGAGACACAGGATGTTTTGCACTTTTTTTTTCTAAAGAGGTTTTCCATACTTTCAAATTGTCTTTAGTTCAGAAACACTTTTTTTGTAACAAAAATGTCACGTAGTTATTTTGACTCCTCAGATTCAAAGTTTGAGATTTCTTTTGCTTACGTAATAGAGTTTGGAGGAAAACACTCAATATACAATAGTAGGGCCAGTCGTTTTGAAATACAACCTGCTCCCCGCTCAAAACTCATACCTTTTTGGCTGAATTCTTTATGGATCATCAGCTTAGCAAGTAAAGGAAATGCTACCCATAGAGTACAAATGAATGCTGAACAAATGCCCATCTGAGTAACCATAGCCAATGCTAAAGACCAAATCATCAACGAGGTATCAAAAAAAATATCTCCCAGGTACTGCTCATTCATATCCTGTAACAAAAAAAATAAAAATAAAAAGCAATATACTCACTACTGAGCATAGCCCATGTATCACATCTCATATAAGAACACACAGAAAAATCCTACTACTTGTATATAATTGCTTTACTTGGAAAATACAATTCTGACAAGCATCATCTCAATATTCTCTCACCATTTAGATTTATCCATGGCAGTTTACCTTTTTTGTGCTTTTTATGTCCTCTGACATAGCTTGTAAAAGGGATTACGTGGGCTGCGGGAGAGGGAGGAAGGAAATGTACAAATGATAATACGAGGAATGAAGGCAGTCTAATGTTTGTTACATGGACAAGTAGTACCATTTTGTAAAAAACACTGGTATTTGTGAGGTGTATGAAAATGTTATGCTGCACTTAGGTGTGAAAAAATTTATCTGTATCTTCTCTGATTCTAAGCTGTTAATGCATTCCTCGTACAAGCACTGTTATTAGTCCACAAATATTAAACTGGTGCTTTTATACGCCATGCCACAGCTATCACTTCAGAAGTCTGCTTTTTAAAAGGTATTTGTTTTGAAGAAAAGGCATGCATGGGTTAGATAACAACAGATAAGTTTTCAATAAAAAAGTTTAACTGTCAGAAGTGTCATTTGGTTTTGTGGGGATTTTTAAGTTACACGGGCAATAATGTGGTGTTTGTAGTGCAAGATTCTTCACTGGGAATCCTGCCAGTAATATGAAGGACTGCTTGCATGAATAATGGCTATCAAAAAGCACTACTTCAGGTTCAGGCCAAGGAGAAAAGAAGGAAAAAAAAAAAAAAGGCAGGGAGGAAGAAATGTGAATTGCCAAATCTTTTTCAAAACAACAAGCTTATCAAGTCACAAGTTCCTGAGCCACAAACAGAAAACACCCAGGTACTGGCTGTGATAGCCAAGTAAGATATTAGCTTCCAAAATTTTTATGCAACTCTAACTACAATGTAAGTTAGAGCAGCACAAATTTTACGGTGTACTGCAAGCTGCAGCATGCAGTAAAACTAAGAGACTCATATTATCGAGTTAGCTGATCTGCTGATTAATCAGCAAGCAAGAAATAGATCCAGAGCCTAGAACAGCAGAGCACTTGGCAAAAGTGTGCTCCTCCATGAGCTCTTCTGAAAGACTAGAAAATGGTAATCTATTTTACAAATGGCTCATCTTTCCCACAAAAGGAAACACCACATACACATCTTTGTTAACACACATATACCAGTTAACACTGCCTTTCCCAAAACAATTAAAAGAAAACCCACTTCCAGATAAAAATATAATACATTCATCCAGAACTTCCTATGCAATCAAATTTCAGGAAAGTTCATGACATTTCTTCAAATACTTGGATGTGGCTGGTTGATAATATAGGTTTCCTAAATTCTTTTGCCCAAAGCCTGTACAAACAGCCGAGAGCAGATTGAATGATGAAATATTACTATGCCTAAAACCTACACCTAATAGGCTCTAGCAGTTGATTTCTGCCCTGGAAGAGCATCATCTGTCAGATTCCTTAAGGGCTATCAAGAGCTCTGTTCCATTTCCAGCTGTGGTCAAAACAAAAAATAATCAGAATAATCATAGAGGGAAGGGTGACTTCTCAAATTTTTACAACAGCTTCATTTAGAAACCTCTGGACGGCACAGATTACTGTTAGAATAGGATGTGACAGAACTAGAAAATCTGACATGCAAAAAACTAATGCTCTGATATGAATAATCTTAGAAAAAAATCCCAATGTATTATTTGCTTACAAGGTTATGAATGCAAATGACATCACCAAAATAACATGCTAATAAAAGGACAGGACAAAACAGAAATGGAATTCCCAGTTTCACAACAGAATGTAAATGAGAAATTAGATTAAAGAATAAAATATTAAGATACCTAGAAAGATACTGTACCAATTACTAAATTCAGGGAACCTGTCATACAAATCTCTTCAGACGCGAGAATGTGGTAAGACTCAAAGAACGGCAGAATAGATATTAGGATTCTGTAATCAAGAACATTGGAAGTATTGAAAAATCTAAATTCTTCAGTTGTTGCTCTCCTCTCTTGCCACGCAAGAAGAACGCTTTAAATCACAAGTGTCTTAAGTCTTGGATTTAGTAAAGGAATCCTAGGCTTAGATGAAGCAATTTTTACAGCAACATTTTAAATAGCTCTGTACAATACAGAACACTTTTTGCATCTTTTTAATCAACTCAAAAATTAAGTCCTCCATAGGCCAAATACTGCATTGCCCTTCAACATTAGCAAGAAGCCAAGCTTACCTTGTAGAAGAATTTCTTGGCTAGTGTATGCACAAGGATGAGCTTAGCTGCAGCTGCTGTGCCGTACAGAAACACAGAAACATAGAAATGGGTGTACCAGGAAAGAGATCGTCCAATGACAGAGATGAACACTGCCACTATAAGGACCATCACCAGTGTGGAGACCCAACTGATCAACGTTAAGCCGAATGCCGTAAACAACTTCTTCAGGTTATGAATAGCTATGAAGAGCAAAAAAGAATTTTCATTCAACAGCCAGAAATTTTACTGCAAACTACCATCAAGATTGTAATTACAGAATCACAGAACTCTTGAGGCTGGAAAAGACCTCCAAGATCAACAAGTCCAGCCTATGACCCAACAGCATCACATTGGCCAGACCAGGGCACTGAGTGCCACATCCAGCCTCTCCTTAAACACCTCCAGGGACGGTGACTCCACCACTTCCCTGGGCAGTGCATTACCCGCCAGTGTAATTGCTTACGCTCCTAGACATACCTGAAAAGGTCTAAACAGAAGATCTGTTTTACACCCTTTATTAAGCTTTGTTAACTTTTTTCTCTATTTGTTGCTTTCTTATTTGCTGCTTCCTATGGACAGATGTTAAAGAAACATCATTCTGAAGCCCTACCTGTGCTAACAGAACAAAGAGTTTATACAGATGCTAAGCATTACTTTACAAGTAGATCTTTACAAGATTTAATTTTAATCTTCATGAAGGGATAAGAAACATAACCATGTCATAATCATGCAGGACATCCTGGCCTGTCATCATAATTACTCACAGCCAAGAGATCTAAACACAAAGCAACTCCTATGACACGCTGCACACCTAAATTTATTTCTGAAGTTTATCTAAAAAGATGCCTTAACTGTCTGAATTCTTCCTCACCTACTAATTGCTACTTGTTAGAGTAATGTGATTGTTTGTGGCAGGGTTTTGGGGGGGTTTGTCTGTTTGGTTTTTTAAGAACTAGACTTACCTCTGCTTCTGGGCTGTAATATTTTCTTGCTTAAATAAAGAAAAGCAATTGCTGCTGTAATATAGTTCATGATGGTGCCAACATGAGCAGGATAAGCCAGGACAAATAAACCAAGTACATCGAAGAACACAACATTTCCATGCCGATACTCAAAAGATTTAGCCAACTTATCTGACGTCGCTAGGTATTTTAGGACAGCTAGAATATTGTCACCTATTAAAAAAGCAGGTACACAATATAATTACTTCAGGGTTGATGACAGCATTCTTTTAAACACAAGCGTTCTTAAACATACACCTGTCTTTGTTGAGGATGTTTCAAGACAGTTTTTCAATGGTATGCACAACACAGTACTTTTATGAGTTAATCTATACCGTTGTCACTAAAATAAGCATATTTGGGAAGATTAATGTATTTAAACACTGTTGCAATGATGAAGATTAGTCAAGCTTTCAGCCCATAGCCCTACTTCAAGGCCGATACTAACACACTGGACTTTCAGGTTAATCCATAGAAAAGTTTACAATCTCATCATTTTCTTTCTCTTCCCCTTGTCACTAGGAAGCCCTCTGTTTCAATTACTATGAATTACTCACTTCTCATTCCCTAGAAAACTCTAAGGTAGGAGACTAGGAGGGTATTTTCCTTTGTAGCATTCAGGTACCACAGTACAGTCAAAACACATATAATCAAATCAGACCAATTGTTCCCAACTTTCATTTTGCTTTTACTTGACCTGTAAAGGTATTTACTGGCTGAATTTGGTTGGTTGTTTTGTTGTTTTGCTTGGGTTGTTTACTATTATTATTTATTTCTTTATTTTATTAAGATGTGATATGTTTAGCAAGAGACACTCTACATAACTACCATAACCAGTAAAACCATCTTTCCAACAGGAATTTAGAAGGGCTACTTGCTGTCTTGCAATTGCAGTGGCGTGACAACTGTTATTCATGCTGGTCATCTAAGGTGACTTCTATATAAGCTTAGAGATGGAAATGGTCAAAATCCTGGAAGCATTTAGGATTACTGCAGTCCATTAAATAGCCTGCTATGAGTACAACCTGTTAGCATACAATAAATCCTGTGTATTCACAGCCTGTGTGCTACCACATTAGTCTAAGATCCATTCTAAAAGAAAAACCTCAGATCAGTCTCTATGCCACCAACTAACCATAAGCTTCTCGTGATGAATACTGAAAAGTAAGAGGACTTGCTCACAGAAAAGGAATGCAGAACATTCATGTATCAGTGGCTAGATTAACCTAAGATTCCACAGTTACTTTAAAATCAACATCATTCAACGTTGATAACATTTATCTTCCAAGGCTGATCAAATATATTTCCTTTGTATTTTAAAAGACGTGTTCAGTTAATTATTTGTTCTTTCAAACATCTAGCATGTTCTACATGTGTAATTAAAATTATTACTTTATTGTGGTGATAATACCACAGCAAATGAAAAAGCAGTTATAATACTACTCTTTAATAAATAACCAAATTCTTGAAATACCAACCTGCTCTCTGAATGGAATCTGTTAAAATTCTGTCTGATGTGTCATATTTTGTATGATAAATATATCCATTTTCAATAAAAGCCAAATCTATTCCTACAGAGAGAAAAAAAAAGAGTGTTTGAAATTATGTAAGCCTAAAACCTCAAAACATGCATGTGAAAGACTCGGGTATTTTTCACATTTTTAGAATGGATAGCAAACTGCAAACAAATTAGCAAAACCAAAAAAACATTGTCCTGCGCTTGATTACCAAAAATAGTAACAAAAAATGCAGTACTAAGTCACTATCTTTAGAAAAAGATTATTTTGGCTTATCCATCAGGTACAGGTTATCAGCATCATTACTAAAATGTTTCAAAACAGGCTATTCACTAACGCACAGTTAATTCCTGGGGTGTTTTGATTAATTTATTTGTTTTTGAAGAAACTTTTCCACCAAGTAGTTTCTTTCTCAAAAAAATACAACCTACACAACAAACCAAATCTAAAGACTCTTGTCTTAGGAAAAAAAGCAGGAAAAATTGCCCCCAACCTGAAAGACAAACCACATTTCAAGACCTTCACATGGTAAATCGCAGAACAATGTCCTTGTCATAAACTTAGGACAAATGGTTGCATAATGCACATTGACACCTCTTCTGATGGCATACCTGGGATGTTGCCAAAGTCCCTGTAGATACGGAAGTCTGTATCTGCTGGGATAATACCACTCTGAAATACTTCTTGTGCCACCACAGAAGCAAAGGGATGCTTGGCTGCAGCTACATATGCTTGTACCAACCAAGGATTCTCAGGTCCTGACAAAAGATGAGCAGAAACGTCACTATTTTTTGAACTTGAGTTATGAGCGTACCCTTACAGTAACAAATAAATAAGGCAAAGGAACTCTAGAGTTTTAATGCTGTTGCGCTACAGGGTATTGGCTGAATGACTCACACCTAAGAGAAAGAAATAGTTACACTTGGGGAAAAAAAGCCCAAGCAAACCAATGATGCCTTGAGTGTGAAGTGGTAGAGCAGATAAGCCATTTCCCATAAAGACCCAGAACTAACGAGGAAGTCACAATCTATAGCAATGTTGCCAGTTTATCTTCTTTGTATCACAACTCAGAACTGTCTAGAGAAGTCTTTCCACTAAAGCATTCAATGCAAGCAAACAAGCAGTTCCAGCAGTAGGAGGCATCTGCAGTCCAACTAGGATGGAGCAGAAGTTCTATGTCAGCATACAGAACTCAAGTTTTGCCACTTCTTGAGCAGCAGATAGAATTCTAGTGCCAGTGTCTCCCTGTAAAGATTCTGCATGAACTGCTGCGAAAATGAAGTAAAGCATATAAAAGCATGAATACGTAAGGTATGCAAGATACCCAAATCCGTTTTTCTCCTTATTAACCTGATGTAAAAGGAAATGCAATTTCTGTAATTCTGTTCTACATAGCACGAGGCAATTTCCGTGGCAGTGCTTTAGCCTACATGTATGTGAATAAGGAGGGCAACAGGGCTGGGAAAGAGACACAGCCATTCTCCCAACTATGGCTTATGAGTCACTGTCAATACTCCTTCAAGTCTACATTGTTTATTATCAATTTACCCTAGTGTAGAAACTGGACACAATGCAAGCTCATACCTGTTTGAAAAACAAGTTCCTTTCCCCCTACACCTGCTGCCTCCAGGTTAATAAAAGCTCTAATTGATTTGGCCCATTCATGTTGTGTAATGAATCCATGACTAGCCTTGACGGGAAAAGACAAAAAAAAAAAAAAAAAAAGTCAAAGATCTTCCAGATCAGCCTAAATGTTATTTTCTATCACATACGATCATAACTCAAGATTGGACAGGGCAGCTAGATCACTTACAATATAAACAAGACACAGAAAATCCAAGTCTTCTAATGAAATAAATATAGACAATACTCTTAATCTATTTTTCACTTTGAAATGAAATGCATTTTCCTCGGGACGTTAAGAGAGGCATTTAATTAATACTTCAACGAATTAGATACAAGCCATATCAGCAGTTACTCCTTCCTTTGTCAGAATCTTAAAACACAGCTTTGATGTACATTTTAGAATTCTGGCATATTCTCACCTGCAA